AGATTTGTTCGCCTGATAATTCATAGGGTGTGTTTTGTTTCAATGAGTGATCTTGGACAAATACAAATACAATTAAAGTATATTCTCTTTTAAAAATATAACTTATGCACTTCAGCTACAGAATGTAAGCCCATTGTAAAAAATATAAAAGCTTTATTCTAAAAGCATTATTGTTCCTACAACTACTCTAATTTAAAAAAATAAATAAAACAGCCCTCTTATATTTAATGTTGAATCCACTACAGGATTTGACTTGAGATGGACAGGCACAAAACCAAAATTGTTCGTTGATTTAAAAATATTGGTACTAACAGTCGAGCTTGCAAAAAATAAACATACAAATAAATTAAGAGAAGACATAAGTAATGACAATTCTAAAGCTCCAATATCACAAGTCACGTTTAGTCGTCATGAATGGAATAGACCATGTGGATAGTTTTAAATATCTAGGAGCATACATCAGAGGAACAATAGTTGGCTAGAACCACAACGGCTGGAAATGTTTGAATGCTATTAAAAGGGGCTCTACTAACTGGAGAGAAAAATCAACAGGAACAAAGCTGGCTATTTAATACTAATACTTTAATCCCAATATTGACACATTTCACTAAATCGTGGCAACCAACAATAAAGTAGAAGAGTCTAGTGCAGAATTCTGAGGTAAGATTCCGAGGATTGAAGGTATAATAAGACCAGACTGAATCAAGAATACCAAAATAAGGGCTAACCTTAATGTAAAGCCTGTACGAACAGTGATGTAGGAGAATGATCTCCGATGGTATGGACATGTAATTAGGACGAATGAAAATAGAATAGTCAGAGCAAACTGTGAGACACAGATGGACGATAGTAGACCAAGAGGAAGGCCAACGAGAAGATGGGATGAAGGAATAAAAGAATCATTTAAAAGCAGAGAAATGGATTGGAAAAAAAGAGAATTGGCGCGAAAGATCTATGATCTATAGTCCAGACTCAGTAAGGAAACCCCAATACAGCAAGGACGTTACTTAGAAGCTTGACGAAGAAGATCTTTTAAATGTGAACATTTTTTAATCTGAAGATATAAATTTTTTAAATGTCTGTACGAATTTTAAGCTACCAGGAGATAAAAGCCGAGAGAGAAAAAATACAAACTTGGTTGAGATATTATTTGTTCAAGTTTTGGATACATTTCACTATTACGTCTCATATCTAAGCTATAAATATTTTTTTTTTTACTCGTTCCTACAAGTGAAGTCCAAATTATCAGAGTTTGTTTTCAATATACTATAGCTGATAACAATTTATCAGGATAGCACGATAACACATTAATCATTTATCAAAAGTTAGTGAATACAACTAATATTTCTTAAGTAGTGTATATAGGTATGTCTGTTTTTTTATTTTTATTTTATTTAATTATCTTTAAGTTATTTTATTTTTATTTATTGTATATAATTTTGGATTATTATTTATTTATTTTGCTTCAATTCATTGTTTTTTGTACATATAGTGTGAATGTAATTTTATCTCACTATAACTATTGTACAATTATTATATTACGCAATAAATAATAACAACAAATAAAGAAAATTAGTTGAGAGTTAATAAATAAACCAACAATCAAAGAAGAGGACATGTTTTTTTTTCACAAATCTTAAAATATTCACACTTCATAAATGTTTATACTAAATATTATTTATTACCCTTATAGGTATATTAACAATACTAAAATTGAATTAAATACCAATAAGCTCGGTTAGATAATGTATGCCCCAGACTAATAAAAAACATTAGCCTATCAATCAAAACAAACTAACTAACCTAAAAAGATATTGAAAGAGATCATAACTCTTGCCCTAAGTGGTCGACCTAGTAATGCCAACCAGCTCCGACCGCGGAGTACGTTACCACCATTAGACCGCCTCGGAGAAAGAGGGAAAAAAAAGTGAACGAGATTCAGAGAACTCGTTTAGCCAACGTCCAATGTGAATTTGGAAACATTAGTGCACGGCCAACTGAATATTTTAGGCGTATCTAGAACGTTCATAAATCAATTATACCTTTCTGTGGGCATTTTTTAGAAAAGAAAACATTTTGGTTTAATATTTAAGTATTAATGAAAAATTACTTTCTAATGTGATTAGCTTTAATAGTAGCAAAAGTGGTGAATCCAAGGAAGGTAAAAGGGATAAATTTCCGTACCAAAATAACCACTAGAAAGAAAACAGTATGGCTTGTACCTGAATCTTTTAATTCATTGTGTAAGAAAAAAATAGACACATCCTTGCATTATTACGTCTAAGAAAATCAGTTCCAAATAGTATGAGCTTTTATTTTTTCCGTAAAACCGTGTTGATCTTTGGCTAATAGGTTTTCTCGTGGGCCAGAAGAGAGGGCGGGGAATTAATGCCAGAGTTAAATGTCCACGGCATCTGTACTCTAACTCGTAATCTACAGGTTATCAGGTTGACAGACAGCATGTGTATGGCAAATGTGTTAGCCAGTTCGGCCAACCCCTTCTCCAAAATGACACGAGTTTTGAAATTGTTGAATAATCAATTTATTACTATTTTGCTTTAAGTAATATTCCTTCCAAATTTTTTAAGCATCCCAATAATTATCGTAACCTTTTCTCACCTATCTCCCCCTACCAAAAAAAAAAAAAAACAATCTATGGATCCATTTCTGAATAGCACTGGATTCGTCCATTCATAAATCCAAGTTACAACAAGACAATCTTTAAAATTTAAATAAGTATAGCCAACAGTAGGGATAATATTTAATATTTACATTTAATCCTGAATTATTAGTCACGCTTCAGATATTTTTATATAATTGGTTAATTTAATATATGTGTATAAATAACCATTATTACTTTCACTTATCTGTATAAGTGATATATAGTAAGGGAAAGTATTGTTTAAATAATATTATTAGCTTGAGACTGAGATAGTTTAATTATTATTTGTTAATCTCATGTACATTAAATTTTCATTGGCATGATAATTTATACTTTTGTCACATTTCTTGGTACATGAAATTATCTTTATAAATTTCGTAGTTATATAAATAAAAAAAAATATATAAAAAGTAGTATAAAAAAATATATTGGGTTCCTCAATTCATGCCATATTATTTACATCGGAGATCTGATAATGAAAAAGAATGATTACATTCATGTTAAGAATATTTCTTCTAAAATAGGCTACCTTCTAGTGTTGCGAAGTACTGGTACTTATACTGTTACTGATGGGGATAAAAACTCCGCAAGTAGGTCTCATGGTCATAGGCACAGACTAAGAGGAGGGGAGAGAGCTAGAATATCGGTTCGCTCTTCCAATATTTTAAAGAACAAAAATAAAATCAAAATCAATAACAAATAATCTATATGAGTAAATAAAATATGTAAACTAAAATCAATTAAGAAAATTGGAAAAGTCGACCAGATGGCAAAGCTAGAAGTTCTTCAAACTGCCTCAAACCTTTAAGTGAAAATATGTTATGTATTCAATTCCTTTGCTAACTTATTTTCAAATACACACACGCAAAAATAAATCCAACATACAAACATATATATAACATTTATTTTATATATAGTATGTGTTATATTTCTCGTTTAACAATAATTAAGTTATGTTAATTATCACTCATAATTTTATACATAAAATGAATATGGTCCTTTTTGTCCACACTTGACTTCTGCGTTATGGTTGCAGCCGCGTATATACCAGATTGGGTGTATCAAGAATTATTTTACGGTACCACCGAATAATAAATATTAACCGACCAAATTAAGAATCGAACCTACATCGTTCAGAACCGAGCACTCTGGTACCCAAGTCCCAACTTCTTCGTTCTTCACGTCCTCCTGCTAAGCCAAAAGTCGATGTTTTGCTGCTAGTATTCCGATATGAATACTATTTAAGTAATCAAATTTAATCGATCATTTCACAACAGTATAATAATTAATTTTAAGTTGGAAATCACTATTTTTATAGCTATTATGTTTCAGCCAAAATATCAATTAATCGGTTAATATAACATATAAATTAAAAATAAAAAATTAACTATTAGAAACATATCCCTATCATTGGGCAACTTAAAATGATTTATTCAATAATAAACCTCTGTTAAATAAATCATTGTAACCCCCAAAAAAAATCTTCAACCTTAGTTGGCGTCACTAATGCTAAAAAATGAAGGAAAATGAAAACATGTACACCGACATTCTTTTTGTAAAATTCCCTTACTTTTCTATACCATGCTTGGAAAAATTCAAGTTCATCAAAACAATTAAAATAGACTAGGCGTGAATGTATTGTAAATACACATATAAATAATTTAATTGTTATTTCTACTTCAGAAATATTAGAGGTCAACACATAGCAGAGAATTTTAAGAAATTTCTTAATAAGAAATAAATAAAATTATTAACTTTTATAATACATAAATTGATGATATCAGCTTCTTTTGTTGATAAAAATACGAATATCAATAAATAAATAAGAAAAAAATTACTGAAAAAAAAATTACTGTTGACTTCAAAAAAAAAATAAATGACCTGTCTCTTGCTTACCAGTGTAAACACCAATATTACGAAAACTTATTTCGGAAAATAATGATTCTGATAATGACAAACCATAACATCAATAAAATTCATGATCGTCCCATAACTTGCACAATTCCTTGACTTCCGGTGTTTTTTTCATCAAATTCTCTGACTATTGCCGGACTTCAAAGGTTTCAAATTTTGTTATTTTCTCAGGTATACAAGATCCAATAGAAACCCTGCACAGTTCGGCAAACTCTCTAAGAACACCACCAAAATTAAATAAGGCTGAGCTTAATATATTCGAAACGGGGAGACAAAAATTGGTAAAGTCTACTTGAGAAGTAAAACTAAACTACATATATTAGCATAATAACTGCTTTAAAATGAAGTGGTGGGACGAGTTATGAAGAAACGATGCCCGCAGAGTATATAAGCCGAGAAGAGAAGGGAAGAGGCAAGTCGAAGCATTCAAGTCAACCGATCAACATGTACAAGGTACCCATATATATATTCATATATACAATATGTAGATAGTTTACCTTACATATTCATATACATACTAAACTTATTTATGTTGCAGGTAGCCCTTTTCGCCTGTCTGGTGGGTGTAGCCGTTGCCCAATATGGGCACAACTACGGACACCACGAAGAAAAATACGTTGACTACTATGTAAGTATTTTCACTGTCATTACTGTTTAAGATGATTTTGTGATGGTATGGTATTCAGATCGTTTATTCATAATTTCACAAGGCCCCACCTCACTACAAGTTCGACTACAGCGTACACGACCCCCACACCCATGACATCAAGAAGCAGGAAGAGACCAGGGAAGGAGACGTTGTCAAGGGCTACTACTCCCTCTACGAACCTGATGGTACCGAAAGGATCGTCCACTACACCGCAGACAAGCACAATGGTTTCAACGCCGTCGTAGAGAGGAAAGGACATGCTGTCCACCCTCAAAACTATGGACACTCCTCTGAGGCTTACTACGGACATTCTTCCGGAGGATATTCTGGTTCTTCCGGTGGATACTCTGGTTCTTCCGGTGGATACTCTGGTTCTTCCGGTGGATACTCTGGCTACAGCGGTGGTTCAGCTTCCTCCTCATCATCTTACCAGGGTCATTACTAATTTGTAATTGTATGCTTGTACATAGTCGTTTTATACTTTTGTAAAATAATAAATTAACAAAAAAACAATATATTTTTTTTTTAATTAACGTTTAATCTTCCTCTCGCAGTAAAAGAACTGCACAATTAATTACGGTTTTCAGATTCCGTTTACTTTATACTTGTAGTATATTTTATTAAAGAAAATTTCTATTGAAAATAATGCTTTAATTAAGAAATATAGGCCTAGTTTCAAGTTATTTGCAACATAAAATATTCATGCAAATCTTTATAAAACTTACATATTTTATTGGTCGAAAGAAAATTTGACACTCAAAACATTATCTGTCCTGAGAATGTCTTTGAGTACAACACACAAACTACTAATGGATTTAAAATATTCACAACTGATTTACAGCACTAAGAGTTAATTTACTTTGCGGATAATTTGTTATGTACCAAAAAAGTATAAGATAATTAATTGTAATTCATAAAATTATTATCCCGCCACGTTTCATCAATATTAATCAGTTTCATTAATGAATTCATAAGGCCTAACCATTTAACATTATTAAACAATTGCTTTTAACTACCTCATTCGAATAAGATCACTTATAATGTTAGGTTGGTTGATTGAACCACTTTGTTTTAATATCGTATTCATACGATACAATATACAAATCTATACAATTATCGAAAATACAATTTTTTTCGCACCAAATTATTGGCTTGGTTGAACCGAAAATTCCAAATTTACTTATACTCTTTATTTAAAAAATTTTTTTTTTTTTTTTATGCCAGTCGTTGGTCATGCTGCCCAGTATAATTTAGACTTTCTGATATGTATATTTGAAAATATTTTGTCTCTTATGTCCCTCAAGGCAGGACATAAGAGACAAAATGGCGTCTAGATGGTCTGCATCCATTGTTCCTAGATGACACAATTTACAGGTAGGATCCTCAGCCACGCCTATCTTGTAGAGATGACTCTGCAGATAGTCGTGACCAGTAGCCAGGCGGAAGCAGGCAACTGCATCTCTTCTCGGCAGCTCAGCTGGAATCGGATTATCTTTCAACCACTCGTAACGCTTCCCTTCCACTTTGCCGAAATGTACTTTTCTTATTTCCTCCTTCACTACCATCTTCACCATTCGCCGTATTGAGTCGTAAGGTTTTGGATATATCGGCTGAGGCAAATCTGTTCCTCGCTTAGCAAGAATATCAGCCTCAACGTTACCCGGAATACCACAATGGCTGGGGATCCACTGTAGGACCACATTGGTGCCTCGGTGTGTCAGGTTAGAGAGGAGGGATTTACATTCCAATATAGCACTCGATAAACATTCATTCGTGCTTGTGACAGCAAGGATGGCCGCTTGGGAGTCGATGAAGAGAACAGCGCTCTGATCCCGCCTTCTAGACAATGTTCTTAAGGATATGAGGATGGCCGCTATCTCACCGTCAAAATTTGTTTCCATATGAATGAGCTCCTTCATCAATGAATGAGGATACCGGATCTCCGTAAACAAATAAGGATCAAAGATAAAACTTAAAAAAAAAAAAGAAGTTTTTATTTATTTATTGCCTTATTAAAAATAAATATATGACAATAAGCCGAAAATCCAAATCTGAAAAGACACAATAACAGGACCTGCGTAGAAGGGAAATCGTATATCCCGAGATTAGACGAATTCAAATACTTCGGTTACCTAATAACCTCAATGAATGACCTAATCTGGCAAATAGACCAACGTATAACAAGCGCAAACAGTTTTCTTCTCTGTGTTAATTTTATTAAAACCCGAAAAATTTCAAGAAATCTCAAAGTAAATGTGTCCAATACTATGATAAAACCAGTTATCATACACGGCTGGTAGACCTGAACCCTAATCAGCAGCCTAGAAAAAAAGTATTGAATGATTTTAAAGAAAAATCCGAACGAAAACCGGAGTGATCTGGGGTAAAAATACTGACAAATGGAGGACAAATACCAATAAAAAGCTGCTTACTGAAACTGGTCAATCAATATCACTCGACATAGATTGTCGAGGAGGTTAAGATGGGCAGAGTACGTAGTTCGGAGCAATCCATCTGGAAGCCTCTACACAACTATGAACGCCTCAATAGAAGGCAAAAGTCTGACTAAAAGGCTTAATTGAAATGAATTAAGGGGTCAAAAGATCTACAGGGTACATAATGCCGACATAAAAAAACAAAAACAATATTAAATAAATAATAAAATCTAATAGCAATTGTTATGTGTTGAAAGAGATTTAATTAAGCTTTTCAACAGCTATATTAAAGTTAGATCTGGAGGAAATCCTGAAGAACAAGAATGTTTTATAATAGAACAAGGAATCCTTTATAAAGTATTTATAAATTATATAAATTATTATAATTAATTTAAAATATTAATAAAAAATTATTATAATTTATAATAATTAGAGTTTATACAACTCTACTTCTATTAACATTCGTATTTTTTTATTTTTTTTTGTGACTCCTAAGGCCCATTGGAAAACAAGCCAGACTCAAACATTTTTTGATGTGGAAAAATAAATTTGGTTGAAATCGGGCACACTCACCCTCTACAAAGATGTGTCTCAAACAGCAGTAAATATAATGCCTCAAGTCCATCTAATTGTAAAAAACGAAAACGTGCATTAAAAAAAGGAAATTTCTGTCGGGCACATTCAGCCTCTACAAAGAGTATAAGTTATTTTGGAATTAAAACTTCGTCGTAAACCAACGACTTCCTGTCCTACAGTTTCCTTTAACAATACTCCACTTATCCCTGTTGAGCAAATTCGATACCTAGGACTCCACCTGGACAATAGACTAACTTGGAATCCTCATACTAGACTGAAACGACAAGAAACCGCTCGACGTTTCCGATTACTTCAGCACTTACTAGACAAACGCTCTAAACTTCCCATTAATTACAAAAGACTCATATACTTGACTATAATAAGATCTATTTGGACTTACGGAGTTGAGCTATGGGACTCCACTAAACCATCGAATTCCTCTCGCATCCAATCCTAACAATCCAAAATCCTTCGTAAAATCCTCAATGCTCCTTACTTTGTCACTAATAAAATTATCCATAAAGATCTTAATGTTCCTTATGTTTCAGATCTGGCCCAATCCAGATACCTATCCTTCCATAATAAACTTCAGAATCATCCCAACCCTCTCGTTTCTAACCTTGCTTCCTCTTCAATTCCTGATAACCCTCCGAGGCGTATGAAAAGAAGATGGCCCCGTGATCTCCTAATGTAGTCATATCATTAGAGTGCTACCATTGGGTAGTTACTCAGCAAGTGTATTCATGTCATTATATCAATTATGTCCAAATTTACTTGATGTATTTATGTAATACAGTTGTAAATGTCATAAAGAAATAAAAAAAAAAAAAAAAAAAAGAATTAAAACTTTTCCCCTAACAACCTAACAAGTAAAGGTTTTATGAAACTTTTATTTTTAACAATTGTTATTAAAAAGTTCTGTCAATTGCGCTAAAAAGTCGATTTAAAAAAGATTTTAATTCTTAGCTACACAAACAAACGAAACACGGGCAATTCATTTGAGATGAATTCTAATTCTAATCTAAGCTCATTTACTGTCTATTGTTCGTTAAATGGAACTTTTTTTAAGAAATTAAATAAATACGAGTCAAACTTTTCCCATAAACCTGGAACTCTTACAAAAAAAGTTCCTTAGAACTTTTATTATAAAAAACTATTTTTCTAAAAAGTTTTCCAGAAACTGTTAATAAAACTTTTTATAGAAGGTGTCTTATAAGTTCCAACGCCTGATTTTAAGTTTACCAATAATGTGCTTATTTTATTTTTATAAAACTGACGAAGGTTCAGTTTTCTATAAAATAAGAGTCAATTAAATGAATTAGAGTGCTACCATTGGGTAGTTACTCAGCAAGTCTATTCATGTCATTATATCAATTCTGTTTAAATTTACTTGATGTATTTATGTAATACAGTTGTAAATATCATAAAGAAAAATTAAATGAAAAAAATGTAGTGCATCACTTACAACCCTCTTCTTAGCAGAAATAAGTAGTTTCAAACAAAGCAGAAGTGTATGAAAACTGTATATTTATATAATATTGTCAGAGTTCGCATTATATTACCCTCATTTTATGTATGGAATAACATTCATATTTTATATTTAACTATCTTTTATATTACAGATTAATGTGAAATGGTCAATTTCAAATAAAAGTAATTAAAGGTACTTTAGAGGAAGCTAATATTGAAAATTAGCCGTTTAAGCCCTCTTGGAGAACATTTATATAAATAAAAACTAATTTTTTTAAAATTGATTAATTTTACACTGATATAAGGAATTTAATCAATATCGTTAGAGATAGAAAGTGCCACTTCCGGTTAGCCGATTTTGACGACAAAGTTGCTGTTACATCCCTGGTATATAAAAATCGTAAATATGCAATTTCACTTACTTATCGTACTTTTTGTTTTTGAGCTAGACTGCTAACATACACACTTACACACCATTTTGCGGGCGGGACTTGGTTATTTGGACTTAGAGGATCTTAAAACGTGTATTTCCGTTGAATTCTGAGATTCGAAAATTTTAACGATCTTAATTCTTTCCTTTACTATATATTTCATATAAAGGTAAGTGAAAGTAAAAATACTAAAATGAATTAAGTTTAATTAATACCACATACGTGGGATTAATACTTTATGAATATAAAAATTACATACATTTATATATATATATATATATATATATATATATATATATATATATATATATATAATAATAAATTTATACGTAGGTATCTAATTTAAATATTTCATAAGCCCAGAATAATCTCAATTTCAAGTTCTTGGACTGGTTTGGCATGAAACCGGTAGTGAGCGCGTGCGAAATCGTGAGTCACTACATTTTTCACTCTGTTCGTTGTCCCACGAGAATAGTACCTCCTCTAAACTTAGAACTGATACAGTTCATAATTCTCTAGACAAATGACTAATGCAATGCAAACACAAAAGACCTAGGATAGTTTAAAATTCTTAAAATACCAGATGTTTGGCCATATTGTTAGCCATATTTCTCAATACCAACTGAACAATGCAGAGTAGGAATGATTTATTAATTACAGAATGAGATATGTTTATGTGTATGAGCACATTTACGATGACAGTTAATGTAGTATTCCTAAATATATTAAAAATGTTCAATGGGTTAGTTGTACATTTTCTATTCTAAGAAATTCTAGAGCTAGATATCTATCCTTTCATGATAAACTCCAGTCCCATTCAAATCCCCTTGTTTCCACCCTTGCTTCTTCTTCAATTCCAGATAACCCTCCTAGATGACTGAAAAGGAGATGGCCTCGTGATCTTCTTACCTCGAATTATTTATGGAGTGTTACCCCTGGGTAGTATTTCTTCAAGCCTTTTCATGTAATTATTTATAATTTGTGCATATTTACTAGTTGTATTTGAATACAGTTGTAAATTTCATTAAAAAAACAAAAAAATAAAATAAATTCTAAGAAAAATAAACGACCAATTATGTAAAAACAAAATATGACTAGATTATTTCAAAAATATATTCTTAATGAATATTGCCTTTAATTTGGGAAAAAATCCAATTGTTGCC